AATTTAATGCGTTTTGCGTTGTTTCTATTGGGAAAAAAAAACATCAAAACTGTATGTTTATATGAGCATTATTACCATAGTGGTATTTTAGGATAGGAACAGTAACGAGATCTGAAACCATTCACAAAGAACTATTCTCGTTAAGGTCTGTATTGATGCTAAGTTTCCAGTAGAAACTCGAAAATCTATTTTTCTGCAGAAGACAATGACATTGATTTAAAAACTAGCATAATAGTGCACTATCTCGGCAGTAACAAATTAAGAGCATGAACTCTTTTGTTTTTCAGGACATTCATTGCACATTGTCTCGATTGAGAAACAATTTATTAGCAGGAGGAGTTTCCTAGTAAAATGGCTTGTATTTATAATTTCTTTGAACTGATATCTGATATTTCAGATATAATTATAATTTTTCATTTATTTTCTTTTTGGAAACAACGCCAATCGAAAGCAAAAAAACATATACCGTCAAATGTTAACATTGAAAAAAAAATAATCCGAATATTCAAAAATTTACTTATAGTCTATACATATGAGGTAAAATAGTATTCTATCATCAATTTATAATGAATTATAACTGCTACAAAAAAGCATTGAAATACTTTACTGAAAAATTTTGTTGCTGTGGAAAAAATCTTGGCATAGTAGATTTTTCTTTATATGAATTTATATTTCTGTATGAGATATGGGTCATAGAATCATTTGAATCTTTGACAGAATATAGAACTTGAATATTTTCCAAGATAGTTACTTTAAAAAAAAAATTCAATTTTCTAAAATCCGAATGACTAGAAGCTGAAAATTCGAACACATGAAGAATTAAAAAATCAATGATGGAATCAATTCATATTTTTTCGGAATGAAACAAAACGAATCCCAATTCTGTAAAATACTATTCTAAAGAAATGTTTTTTTTATTTTCTGAAAACGAATAAATTGACTTGAAGTTTTTTGTTTGATAGAAAAAAAGAATTTTGTTTTTCTCATCTAACCTTTTTCTGTCGGTGTTTCATCATTGTTTTCTTCTTGTTCCATATTTAATTGATTTTCAATTATTTTTTGAATAATATTTTCATCAATAATTTGTTTTGATTTTTCTTTTGATATTAATGTTTGTGTGAAAAGTAATTCATTTGGTGATTCAACATCAGATGATGATGGAGAACGAACAACTGTTGATCGACTACTACTAGGTGTTGGTGATGGAATTTGTTTTTGCATATCTTCATTAATCATTGTTGTTGATGAGATTAATACTGAAAGTGGTACAATCGTTGTTGGATATTCTTCTTGATGAAATATTTGAGTACAACGTTTAAGGGGATCAAGATTTATTGTACGATCAACAATAGGTTTTTCACTAATTAATCAAAATAAATAAAATAAAATAAAATAAAATAAGAAAAATACTTGTTGTTCTGTTGTTTTATTTCAGGAAATTCTTCAAATAATTGATCAAGTTCATTTAATGTTATATCCGGCAAATTAAAATCCAATAATGGTAATGGTTCTTTCTATTATATCAAAAATATTAAAAAATTGGATTTATTTCATGTGAAAATAAAAATAAACATAAAACTTACAATGAAAAATGTTGGTGATATTTTAAGAGCTGGTAATAAATTAAAAAGAAAATGTGGTTCTAAAATAAGAATTAATAATAGATTTTCAAATAAAAGAATAAATCGAAATATCTTACCATATTGTTTAATAAACTGTTCTCGTTTAGATATTTCATCATTATGAATATTCTTTGTTTCATGATGAATTGTTTCGGAAAACTACACAAAAAAAAACAGATGAAGAACTTATAATGTTTGTTTTTGATTAAAGAAAAACTAATGTCGTACCCGATTAAAAATGTTTGAATATTGTTTTCGTCTAATACATTCATTTAAAAATGAATAATAAAGATTAGGTGCTTGATTAAGTTGTTGTAAAAATGCCATAGTTTTTCTTGTTCGATTTAATTTATGAGTATATACTGATAATTTAGTATCATAATCAACTAAATGTCGTTGAAGAAGCATCAAATTTCTAAAAAACAAAATTTAGTTTTTTTTTTTTTTTTTCATTCTAATTAATATTAAATTTGATTTTATCTTACTTAAATCTTCGATGTAGTTGATCAATAATTTCTTGTTTTGATTTTCGAATTTTTCTTTCAATGTCAATTAATTTTTGATGTCTTTTACTAATTTCAATTAAATTTTGTGAATGAATTCCCGATATATCTTTTATTAAAGCCCAATCTCTTTGATTACCAACATTTGAACTAAATCTTTGTCGTTGACTGATCAAATACTAACAAGAAGAAAAAGAAAAAGAAAATGAATTATTGTCTAAATAGAAATAATTGGTTTTTCCTACATCAGCACAATCTTTTTGTTCATATTGTAAACGTTTTGCATTTGATAATTCATTTTGTAAAAGAGCAAAACGTTCTTCTATACCAACCATATGTTTTAATTCATGATTCGAAATCCTTCTAAATAACCCATCCATTTCCGTATTTAATGAAGATAAAAGTTCTTCTGAACACTAAAAATATATTTATTCAAATTCAAATTATTATTCTAATATACAAATTTTTATTTACCTCATCAATAAAATGTACACATCCATTGATTATATCGTCGACTTTCATATTGGCTAACTAATTAAACAAAAACAAAGATTTTTAAATTGAGCTTATCTTACAAGAAAGGTTGTTCTATGAGGTCTTAAGCAACAATCCCTAGCAAATTCTCTTTTGTGTCTAATTTTCTCAATTAGGAGAGGATGGACGTACTCCGTCTCTCAGATATATATGACTTTCTGCTAGTTTTTTACATCTTTATGTTAACCGAACTTTGAAGTACCATTTTTTTTTCGCTGTTAAAACGTGAAATAAAAATAAGCAGACAATGCCGCTATGAGGTGAATAGGATTGGGGCACACCCTATGGGAAGAACGGCCTAGTGGCAGATCGTCTGTTGTCAGAGGGATCGGGTCATGATGGAGTTCGTTCTCCCTCTACTTGGATACCACTTTTAGCACTCCGAAGATGAAAGCACTTTCTGCGAAAATTTAACGAGTTTCTAGAGAATTTTTTGGCCTCTCCCACCTCTAAAAAATATCGGTAACCTTTCACATGTCTAATAATGTTTATCTATGTTCTTACGTTGTTTTGTAGCCGAAAATGTTGAATTTTTGAACATGAATAGTTTATTAAGAAATTTTTCAGATTAAAAACAGAAACCAACTAAAGAATTGAATATTTAACAATAAACTAATGACGAAATCGCCGGAACTGATACTCGCTGTTTGATCTCATATTTAGCCTACAAGAATATCTTGGTGAGACTAGTAGAAATCTAAAAAGGTCTATTGGTATGGATCTTTGGAGTCAAGTTATGATTATTTTACTGAATTTTCGATTCAGTTTTAGGTATATGCAGAAAAATCAGTATTTCAACGTAAAATTTTGTCTATAGATAGATCAAATGATAAGTAGAATATTACTGAAAGTTTTAGTCGAAATGAATTTTTTTTCTGTCAAGATATTGATTTTCCAAAAAATAGTCGTTTGTCACAAACATCTAATAAAAATCAAGTTCACTTGAAAATTCAATATCTCGACAAAAGAACATTCATTTCAACTAAAACTTTCGCGATATTCGATCTATATATATATATAGAAAATTTTATGTGAAAATACTGATTTTTGATTTTTCGGTATTGATCTAATACTGAGCTAAAAAAAACATCTAAAATTCTCATCGATTAATATATGAGACATCTTGTAGTTCATATATTGATTAAACATGTAATTATGACAAAAACCAAATCATTGATAAACATACGACGATAAATGGCATTATTATTTATTCAGTAGTCTTCAAAAACTCATCTGTATCGTTTCATCTATTAGATAAACACTATGGAAAAATTTATTGAGATTATTTTTTTAACTGAGAATTTTTCTTAAATCTATTATAAACGATTATTTTTAAAGAAAACATTGAAGTAAAATAATTACTTGAGCAGTAACCCATTCAAATAAAGATATGTCTCCTCCAGTTTGAATATCATTATCGTTTTGTGTTACATAATTAGTACTTATTGTTGCTGCCGAACAAATCGATGATGATGATGCTGATGATGATACTGTTGATTTATAATTAATTCCATTAGAATTATCAATTAAAGCTATCAATTTATTTGGAAGTTTTAATTGATGAAGAATTTTAATTGCACGAGGAAGACTATAATTTCATTTTAAAAAAAAAGTATTTTTAGATTCATTATTGGAATAAAAAAGGTTAAAGAAATGAAACCTCTGAAAAAGTTCTTTGTACGACGGTCTTTCCGATAAATAATTTTGATATATACGATTAAAGGAATTTCGATTAAGTCTAAAACTTCTGTAAACAAAACAAAGTAATCAATGAAACAAAAGTAAGTAATTAGAAACAAACGAGAGTGTATCTTCAATATTAGCAATAACTGCCATCCATCCTTGATATTGTGCTTGTTGATCACGAATAAATCTGTCACAATTTTGAACTATTTTTTGTGCATATTTATTAAAATTCTAAATAAAAAACATAATTAAATTAAAATAAATCTATATAATATCTAACTTGTGCAGTATCAGCTCGTTGAACAATTGTTTCATAAGTTGATGGCATTGATAACCATTGTTCAACAGTTGCATTATCTAATATTGGTATACTATTTGATGTTAATGGTATTTGTAATGGATGTGATCGTTCTAAATGTGATTTGTCCAAAAGATAAATTGGATTTTCTTCCTAAATAAAAAATAAACAATAATATTTATTTAAAAATTTAAAGATAAAAGCAAAACAAACCGTTCCAGCACATGTTTCACGCGTTTTCATACAGACTTGTACAGCATCATCATCTAATAATTCTCCTCCATTTATAATTAATATTTGTTTTGATGATGCTATTGCATGTTCATGTTCAATAGTTGATTTTAATGTTTTTACACTAAATTTTAAAATAGAACAAAAAAATAATAAAAAATTCTAAAACATACTCTTGAAACGCTAATTCAGTTTCAAACGTATAGGTTTCGCCAATATCAACTCGAAATATATAAAGCATTTTTTGTTTTTATTTTGTCAAATGCCACTACATAAATTCATTAAATAAAAAGAAAAAAGAATAATAGTAAATCTACAATGAATAATCCTTGAATTGATCTTAAGTAAATAGAATAAAATTGTACTAGTGAGCATTTTCCGAGTTTAATGTTTTTTTTATTTGTCAAAATTATCAATAAAGGGGAAGAAACATATGACAGATAACAAAAAAAAAAAAAGAAAAAGACGATATATATTTATCGCTGCATCATATGAAAGAAGAAGACGCAGAAGCAACAATTGGATTTTCATTTGTCGCCAATAGTTTTTCGATTAAAGGAAAAGAACGTATGGGCGCCATCTGATGATCTTATTGAGAAACGATATTTCATCATGTCATTCAAAATTTGCACCTTCGTAAAAGGAAAAAAATATACTTGCATCATTTCTTTTTTGCTTCTTTTTTTTTACGCAATTAAAACACACTAAATGGCGTGTATTTGGTTACCAATAGCATGTGATACAAGCTCACGTTGTAGATTTTTTTGTCACTTTAAACTTATGTTTTATAATATGAAAAAAAAATTATTTGAAACTTCTATTTATTTCATCTGTTGACTTCTAATAGAAATAATATATCATTTGAATAATTATGATGCAATTGAAAAAATAAAAGGCAAGAAGAAAGAAGAAAAAAAAAGGTTTTTTCTTTTAGTTAAAAAGTTTGAGATATAAGATGAAGTGTTGAGAAATTTCTTTTTAATACAACAAAAAAACATTCTGATTACTAACCAAAAAACTAGAACATTTTCAGTTTAATCACCACGCTTTCACCTTTACACAGCGCTGTGGATGTGAAATACACCAATCAGTGTGAAGATGCAATGAAAGTAACAGTGTACCCAGATAAATCTAGCTACAATTATACATATATATATATATATGTTTTGGTCAAAATTAAAATTCAGTCAAATTTTAAATTTGCCTAGTCATAATTGAAATTTTATTTTCGTCTAATATAATTTCAATCAAAATTAAAAATATAAGCACAAGCGACTTTTTTTTTATTTTACAATAGTTTTAAACATATATCCTGTGAGTTCTAAATTAATTTAGTCCATATTTGAACATCCACTTCTCTCTGAATGACATTTCGAAAAGCAGAAAACGTATTTTTTCCTTAGTAGTGTCTTTGCCGCATATTTCCTTGACAATTACAAGTATCTCCGGCTGTGGAACGACGAGAATCAAGTGTTCAAGTCTCAATAATAGTAGCTGAGTTTAGATTATTAACATCCATATGTTTGACTTTATTGGAATAAGCATCTTTTAAGTTCACAAATGGTTCAACTTCAAATGTATTCTTTCAAGCTCCCATATTGACAAATTAATTTACATTAAAAAAAAATATTTTTTTCAGTTTCTTTGGAAATAATAATTGGATTGTAAGCTTAATTCTTGTGACTCCGCAGCCGGATATATTGGGTGTCTCAAAAGGCCCTTTCACATAAATTTTTCGTATATCGTTGCTATTTAATTTGACTTTATCAACTAATGTTTTTTTAAATGATAGGTGGATACACCGAGTTTTTATTTATAAGAACAAACTTCAGAAGTACTGTTCAAAGCTAAGATCTTTAACAGAAACACAACAATTTAGTGTGTTTTCTATTTTCAAAAACATATTACGTAACATTGCTTTTTCAATTACTTCGGGATATTGAGTGATCCAGTTCTTTAAATTCTTCAATTGTTGAATGTAGTCTTTTCATAGAATTTTATTTTGGTATGTCTTCAAGAAAACAAACTGAATGATATCAAGTCAAAATTCAAGCAATTAAAACAGATATCATCTATGAGTTTTTATCGAAACAGAAAACAGACTAAATTTTCGTATTTTGATTAATGGTCTTAGTGTTAAACAGTACTTTTGAAGTTCGTTCGTACAGATAAAAGCTCGGTGTATCCACCTATCATTTTTTTTAAAATTAGTTGATAAAGTCAAATTAAATAGCAAAGATATACGAAAAATTTAAGTGTATGGAACTATTGAAACACCCTGTACTTGTAATTGTCAAGGAAATATGCGGCAAAGACACACCTAAGGAAAAAATACGCTTTCTGCTTTACCAAATGTCATTCAGAGAGAAGTGGATGTTCAAATATGGACTAAATTAATTTGTAACTCATAGGATATATGTTTAAAACTATTGTAAAATAAAAAAAAGTTGCTTCTGCTTTTATTTTTAATTTTTTCTCTTACTTTTTTCTCTTCATCAAAACAAATTTTAATATTGTCCAATCAAAATTGAAATTTTAATTTCAACCACAACATATGTATATCAACAAATGATTACATCATAATATTTCACCAATAAGTTATGTTTAATAAAAAAACAATGTGTAATTTTTCTTCTTGGCGAACAACAATCAAAGAGAAGAAAAAAAAAGATACATCTATAAATATATACAACAGTATGATCAGTTAAAGACGAATATGCAGTTTCTACACAATAGTGGTAAACTAATGGATTTATCTAATAAAATTCTTATTATTATCTTGGAAAAATTGAAGTCAATCGATGTGCTGTATTCGCGGGTAGGAGTAAACGAACGACTCAACAAAGTGACACGAAGTATAATTTCAAAATCAACTATCAAATTCTTGAGAACTTCGTCAACAGACTGTATTGGTCCTCTAAAGAAATGAGAACTTGATCGATTTTGTTCATATTTACTTCCTCAAATGCATCATCATATCAAATTGATGACTGTCGAATGTTCATCTATGAAACGTATTCTTCTTTCTGCTGATTATCTTAATCTATGGGCTTTTGATCTTTTCGAATTCGACTATAAGATGTTCTCAAATTCTTTTTCAGGTATGTTAAGAAAATAAATTATTTTCAACTGAGAGAAAGTTATATTAAAAAGATAAACTATGTCTCATGCAGATTTTTTAAAGATTGAAATTTTTTTTGATATATGGCTTCCTTTTTCGAAATTCTAAACACTTGAAAAAGATCAAATAATCTGAAAAAATTGTGAGTCTTACTTCAATTTGATATGAATTGATAAGAGATTTATAATATTCTAAAATATTTTATTTCCTGAAGAAACTTGTAATGATTGTTATTTAAGTAACTGTTTGTTTGTTTTAAACAAAGGAATTCACAATCTATGTGAATAATTTTACTAATTCATAGTATATTTGTATTTAGATGATTCATTTTTGTTCGCTTACTCAAACAACAAATTACAAATCTTCATCTCGTTTTTAACGAAGATGTATCATCAATATCAACAATTGATTTAAGTAAAAATGTTTATGCTAAGATATTTGCTTTAGGAAAAAAACTAACTACGTTGATTTTTGATCATTCTACTCTTTATCAACGTCCACTATCATTTCATAATTTACCTTCGGACATTTGTCATTCATACTACTCTTCTCAATTTGACTATTACTGTATCAACTTTCAATGATTGTCTTGCATTGTTGGATGGATGGATTTGTCAATTGTCTACATTGACAGTCACAATTTATCATATCGATCATTCATCATTATTAATTGATAATACGGTAAAGTACTATGCTAATAATTCTTTTGATCAATGGAAAAAAAAGGATTTTCTTTTTTTGAGATAAATATTAAGGTTTTCATCTAACTACGTAGTTTCCAAAACATTCTATATAGTTCTTATTTATTTTATAGATAGTTTTTCTCAACCTTAAATGTTTTTCATTAGGATCGTCTCGATACACATGTTTGTGACAATCGAATTGTGCCATTACTTCGTCGTATGACAAACATGGAAAAACTTAGTTTATATCTTGTAAAAAAATCGAGAAACATTCATTGATGGAAATCATCTTCAAAACGAAATTCTCACTTATATACCTCGATTGAACATATTTATTTTTTATATTCATACAAATAATTCAATTACTAATGATGTTCATCTGCAGAGTAGTGAAGACATTCAACGTTCATTTACTAATAGCAAATGGTTTCAAATCAGTTATTTTGCTGATCATTTTCCCAATGGAGCCGGAATTAGTAATATCTTTTCAATTCCATTCATGATGGAACATATGGATGGTATAACTAACAGTTTTCCAGGTGGAATATTTCCTACTATCAATGATTTATCGATGATTGACGTAAGCCCATTTGAACATGACTTTTTAAAGCTCATTGCTCAAGCCTTTCCATCGCTGAGAAACTTAACCCTATTTAATCATACAACTCAAGTACGCAAGCAACTAGCCTAGAATAATAATGATCAAGATTTTTCTTTCGTCGTGTATTCTCATCTGAAGTGTCTCTGTTTTTTCAATGTTCATATCGATTATGCTGAAGAATTTTTACATGAAGATAACACATGTCTACCTTCTCTCACACAACTACGAATAAAATATGAACAATTATCAACTGTAACAAACAATTTCACAAATAACAAAACTCGTCTAAACTGTGCACATTTAAAGAGTATACGTTTTTATGAAGTAATTGTGTTTCCAGAAAATGTCTATTTGCACTTTCCTTCATTGTAACCCCACGGTACTCTTCTCTTCTTATACGAATAGAGCAAAAAAAATCTTTTTTATTTATCTAAGTTTCTTTTTTCTTTTTGCATTTTTTTTATTCTAATTAATCACCAAATGGAAAAATGCATGAATGTATGTCAAAATTTGATATAAATATATATTAAGCGAGAGTTGTTATGATTACGAGATGCATCGAAAAACGTAATGAAATTATCATTCATTATCATTTATTTAAATTTGATGAAAAAAAAATCTTTTATGAGCTCCTAGTCCAAACAGGTATGAGTAATAATAATGACGAATTGAAAGTTTTCTATATATTTAAACTATAATGAATATCATGAAACTATTTCAGATACAAGATTATTAGGAGTACCCTTCCCTCCTTTCCGAGGTTTCTGCAGAACGGCTCTGCAGAAAATGTTGAAACTTTCTCGGCAAGTAGATATTGATGAGTAGAACAGAAGTTGTCATAGATTAAAAGTTCCCAGATGTTGTCTTCTATGAGATATTGGGGCCAAAATTAGGAGACTTTTCGCCATATCTTTTGTCCTTCGAATAAAAAGGGCAAAATACCGGACACACACTAAAAAACGCCTGTATTTTTTTAGTAGTACAGGTTTTGTAAAAGCTGAGAAAAATCAACAGAGCAATATTTTTTGAAATAAAAAAAAAGACCCACGCTAAATAGTTTCTAGTATATGTAAAAAAAGTTTCACCTCGATACCTCTTCCCATGCCAGAGAAATGGGTGTGAAACAGTACCTTTTTTGCAGAAAATTTGATTTTGAGAAAAGCTGGACACAACGAAAAGAAATTTACTGTTTTCACGTACAAAACGTAAAATCTTTTTGTTTTTTGTCAACTTTGAAGCTATATTCAAATTCTCAAAATGTGTCCAATCGATAGAGGACATTTCTAAGCACATGTGGCAATGAAAAACAAAAAATCGAAAAAATTTCGATTGCCACGTTCGGAAATACTGTTCAACGAGGCTCAACGGCAGAGACAGCAAGAAATATTTGTGTTACATTCGATGAGGAGGCTATTGACAAACCCACGTGTTGCCGTTGGTTTGCAAAATTACGTTCCAGAGACACCACCATGAAGGATGAACCTTGTTCAGAACAATCTGTGGACTTTGATGGCACAGCATTGAAAGCTTTGCTTCACACCGATCCATGTCAAACAATACGAGAATTGACCGCATGACTCAATTGTTCCCACATGATAGTGGATCGTCATCTTCATGCTCTCGACAAGGTCAATAAGTACGAAAATTAGATTCTACGTCGATTGTTGGCAGACAACTTTGCTCTGCTGTTGTCTTGACAAAACAGCGAGCCTTTTTTGAAATGAATTGTTACTGGAGATGAGAAATGGGTCTCTTACATCAACATTTATCGTAGAAACCAGTGGCTTGTTCCTGGCCAAAAACCATTATCGTAGGCAAAATCAGATATACACCCAAAGAAGACAATGTTGTATATCTGATGGAATATGAAAGGTGTAATCTCTTTCAAACTCTTCGATGCCAATCAGACGATTACCGCCGATGTCTATTCTCAACAATTGCAGCGTTTGCATGAAGCTCTATTTCAAAAATGATCGATTTTGGCCAATCGAAAAGGCGCCATTCTCCTCCATGACAACGAAAAACCATACGTTGCAAAAGTTGACTCAGCAAAAAATTGGACAGTGAAAATAGGAAGTTCTTGCACACGCATTCTACTTACCAGATCTTCCATCATCAGATCATCATTTTCTTTCAATCTTTTCGAAATTATCTGTGCAAGAAATACTACGAAGACCTCGATGAACTCAATTCCAATCTCACTGCCTTTTTACAAGTACAATAGCCTAGTTTCTAAAAACAGGAGATTCAACAATCGCCAGCAAGATGGGCGAACATTGTCGAAAATGATGACAATTATATTTTGTGGAACTCACATATATTTTTCGAAAGAAAATAGTGAGTGTAAGTTTTAATTCGAGGTTTTGGCGGCTCCCTCTACGCACCCCACCCCCGCCTTCCCATTACAAACTTTAGCAACCAGGGTCAATGGGTCGTTTCTATAGCAACGGAGGGCAATAGCCAATGGCTAAGCTGGCAACGAGAAAAGGCGCTCGGTCATAATAGCACCTAGACGATTCTGGAACTTTCTACACTGTTCCAAAGCGTTTTGTGAATCTAGGATTTCTACTGAAATTTCTGAATATTCCAGGTTTTGGTACATAATGCAGCGAAATGACCTTATTATAGATATCAATCAGTATGACGATTGTATTGTTGATGTATTAGATTTAGAACAGGATCAACATAAAAAGCATGAACTGTTCAGGTTCCACCTTTGGGAAATACTTAATATCAGTTGTTCTGTGTTTATTGAGATACATAATAGCGCTTTGGGAGCTGTTAGCAAAAAAAAAATAAGAGAGAAATATATATGCGAAATAAAGAAATAAATAAGATAGCGATTTATTAACAATTTATTATTTGTTCCAGAGCAACTATTATCTGTTAGAGCTTTGTCACTTTAGGTATTTTCTATTAGTATAATGACACTAATCAAGATATGTGAGTTCCACATTTTAGCTTCAAAGGGGCTGCGCTGGCAAGCTTTTTGATTACTGTTGCATATTTTTGTCGTAAAATATATTTGATGCCTAATGAAAAACACTTGCAGAACTTATGTTCGAACCCATTACATTATAGACATTTTTGTTTAAACAAGATTACTTTAGTTCACAGTTTACTACTTATTACACATGATCATTTTTATCTCTATGTAGATTTTATTTTCTTACAACAATAGACAAGACAATTTTCTAATCTTATTTCTGTTTTTCTAAAATTTAATACTTTATTTATTTGTCTTTCAGAATATTATTGGATAACATATTTTTGCATAAGGAAAATATTGTTGTAAAGCAGAATTCGAACGTTTTGTTTCACCGCATAATTGTAATTCATTTACTTTGGCACAATTAATTAGTGTAGCATCTCTTGTGAAATTGTGTGTTACTCGTTGTAAAGATTTATAATTGATATGAAGAAGATTATTTTGAAAATACGTTTTAGTATCAAATAGAAATTGTTCTATATAATCATCATGGACATTAATAATATCAAGCTCACTCAGAAAAGAATATTCAATAACAGATAAATTTTGACTATTATTGTTTGATTCGGAAGATTGTTTGCGATTTTGTGGCTTATGATTAATCAAAGATAATTGTTCTATAAATGGAAATGATTTCTGAATTCGAAGAAAAAATTCATGTTCAAAAAGGATGTTCATCAAATAATGACACCACACGAACATATGTGAATAATCCACCTGGAAAATTATTTGTAATATTGCCGTAATATGGCATAAAAGATGGATATAAGTAAATATGGCATTGACTTTGTTTTGCCTCTGGAAAATAATCAACACAAGAAATTATGTTATTATTTGAAAAGTCAATGAAACTGCGTTGAATATATTCTGTTGATGGCAAATTCATTTCATTATGAATAACCATAATTGAGTGAATATAAAATCTAAATTGATTTAGTCGTGGTATACAATTAATAATGTTTTTTAAATTGTTTCCATCAATAAATGTTTCATCAGCATACAGCGAAAGATACAAATCGAGTTCTTCTAGATTTGACATTCGATATAGAAGTGGTAGGATTAAATCATTATAATAATATATTCCATAATTACACGACAGAGAAAAACACTTTAGATTTGGTAAATCGCCCTAAAAAAAATTGTTTTATTATTTGACAAACAACATTGAAGTTTTCTTGCAAAGCTAACTTGATTTTTAATTTCATCTGAAGAAGAAGTATCCATTATATCAACATAGAGCGTGTGGAGTTGATTAAAACGACCATCGAGAAGATAAAGACAATTATCAATACATTGTACTCTGATATTCAATTTCAAAAGAGTTGAAGAACGAAAAGTAGGAAGAAACTCATCATCAAACGATAATGGAACGCGATTTTTATACGATGATTCATATAATGTTAAATAAATTAGACTGGTGAAAGCACTCAAGATGTAATCGCATAGGTTTATCATTGAGAATAATGTCTCCTTGCTATTGTCAATTGTAACAAAAGTGTTGTAATCTGATTGTTGAGAATATTCGACGAAAGCGTTTCATCTAAACATATATACAATATTAGAAAGAAATTAAACTTATGCAAATAATATCAATATATTCAATGATCTAGTCATCTATATCAGTAAGTTTGAGAAATCTCTCATTTGTTTAGAAAAAAAAAACAATTGAATTGAAATTACTTACCGTTAAAAAGATATCGAGCAAACTTTTCATCAATATTATAAAGGCTGAGACTAAAGTCAAATGACTTGTAAAAATTGGATCATGAACAACTTTATTTAGTCGCTGATTGACATCCTGTAATGAATAAAGTACATCAACATTCTTCAGTTTTTGGAAAATAATCATAAGAATTTCATCAGGTAAATCATTCAATCCAACGCATGAATGTTTCATGTTTATTTTCACCTATCTATTTTTTTTCAACTTAGGAAGGTCAATATTTATATGCTTACACTCGTCTGTTCTATTTGACCGATATCGTCCATAAAAACAAGAATGAATGTTTTTTTTTATAGTCACAATTGGCAACGAAAAAATGTATGATAGAAAGAATGTTGTTATTTCTTTTTCTTACGCCTCAATCACGCCGACTTAATTCAAAGTGAATTAATTAATTCACTTTGAATTAAGTCAGTGTGACTGGGGCCTTACAAATATTTTGTAATGCAGCTGGAATAATGATGATTTTTTGTATACAACTATTAACCCTTTCACGCCGGTTTTTTTTAGCGGAAAATATGTTTGTATTTTTTCAAAAAATAGTCTTTATTATGGTCTGTAAAAAACTGCGCGTTCAAACGTCACAGCGCTCTCTTTCATTGCCCCAAGTCTCAGCACTTAATAGCCTTTGCCAGATCCCGAGTCACCAATTTCCTAAGGGACTGCATGCCAGCATAGAAGATGCTCGATCCTGCGAATAGTATTTTAGTCCTGTATCTTCCTCGAAACGCTTTCTTCTCCAAAGGAGGATGTTGCATGAGCACCCTGAGCTCCGCCGTTTGTAGTATAATTTTTATTAGAAGCGTTTTGATGCATCGATAGACTTACTTTATTCGAGACTCTTGAGAGAGAATGAGAGACGCTCGAAGTTTCGCACTTAAAGCGTGTCTTTCCTATAAAATTTCGACGCTCATAGTCTCTCTCTCGTTATAATAGAAGGAGCTCCTTAGACACAAGTACCAAATATCATTTCGAGTACCGTTTGATATCTGTATCTAAGGAAAAATGTCACCGTCCCGTATATGGGACACCCGGCATGAAAGAGTTAAAACGTTCAATATAATAATTCCAATCAAGTATTTCTCGTATATCAAGATTACCAACTGTTGAAAGACGTAACCATTTACGTAAATAATGATTACGTATTGATTGTTCTGACTGAAATATAGCTAATGGTATAATACGTTCAGTTACAGGTGCATCACGTGGAACATTTGCAATAACAAAACTACAACAAAGACCTTTGTCTTTAATTACATCTTTACTAAGCAATTCAGCAAGTCTAAAGCAACAAAATTTTGAATATGTCGCAAAATCTAGAAAACAAAAAGTCTAGAAATGGAAAAATTTAGAAAAAAAAAATCTAGAAAAATATAAATCTAGAAAGATAAAATTTAGAAAAGCTCAAATCCAGAAAAAGAGGTCGATGAGAGCTCCATAGAATAGAAATACTTTTATTTTATGAAGAGAAGACACGACAAAAACTATCCAAGGAAAAATAAACATTTAGTTTTTGATAGCTAGCAGCAATGAGAGGCCTTCGAGGTATTCTGTTCGATCGATGTCGTCGTTGTGGAAACGAGTACCAAGAGTATCGAGGGTGTGGGGGTGAGTGTAGGCATGCACCAAATTCTGTTTTCATTTGATAATGAGGATTCATTTACGTTGTCAAGAACCGTCAATTCCTGTCAAACCTTCGGGTGCTCTCTACTCAACTTTTATTGCTCTATCTGATGGCAATCACAGATATGTCAAATCCTACTAAAAAATATGCAGGATTTGACTGGATTTGACCGAAAATTCACGTGTTTTGATCAAATCCTGCGTATTTTTTAGTAGGATTTGACATATCTGTGATTGCCATCAGATAGAGCAATAAAAGTTGAGTAGAGAGCACCCGAAAGTTTGGCAGGAATTGACGGTTCTTGACAACGTAAATGAATCCTCATTATCAAATGAAAACAGAATTTGGTACATGCCTAGATGGGTGTGGGTGTGGGTAGGTCTACTCATCACACCCACACCCACACCCATACTCACACCGCCCACACCCACACCCATACTCACACCACCCACACCCACACCCCACACCCACACCCACACCCCAAGATAGATCGAGATCATATCAAAGGCTAAGTTACAAAAGTTAGAACACACTTAGCTTTGACAGATTAATGAATTTTTTAGATTGTTTTCTACATTTCTGTTTTCTAGATTTTTTTCTTTCTAAATTTTTTGCTTTCTAGATTTTCTTCTTTCTAGATTTTCTTCTTTCTAGATTTTTTTTTCTAGATTATTTTTTCTAGATTTTGCGACAGTACCATATTTTCTTTTGACATACTATGATGTCTGCATGAAAAATTGATTTTCGATAAGAACATATACATTTTGATTTTTCTGTTTTGATATGAAGTATTTTGGAAAAAATAATCGATATTGTTTATGAATAGCCATGCTTCCTATTCGGTCAGCTATAAGAAGAGATTGATGGAGAAAGAAACCTGTCATTGTTTAAAAAAAAGTATATTGCATATTGCGTTTCGAATTTCATCGACGCTCTATGGAAAAAAATTGTTTTCCTAGTATGAAATATAGTCTACATGGCTGACTTTTAATAACGACGATTTTGAGATAGAAAAAACGATATACTTGATGAAAATTGATATAAAGTATTTCACATAGTAACATGTATACTGTATGAAAGTACACATGTTTCATATTTTGTTTGTCACACGAAGGACTCTATAAAGGAATATTGACATTTTCTAAGAAATCATATGTGTATTGTTTCGGTTTTGGTATTAAGCTATTTACATATATCACAGCTAACACGAGAATTTCAGTTGAAATTGAAATTCGCAAAAAAAAACATTTATAAAAAATATTTTTCCTTTCTTACAGTTTCGATGAATAATACAGAGTTTCTAAATAAAATGATCTTTCATAAATAATANGTTGGTTCCCGTACATTTCAACTGGCAAGTTATAGCTTTTAAATGAATTTTGATGAAATCAAGAAAAATCTTATCGAAAAAGATATTCTATCATTGGGATATGATTGTGTTTATGATCAAAGTTCAATGACTAAATTTTAACGTATTAAAACTTTCAAGAGAATTATTTGCATAAATCTTGAGTTATATATTGTGTTTACAAATAACAATAATAAATTATTATAAAAATTTAGTCATATGAATTAGTCAAGGAGAGAATTCTGTCGAATAATCAATCATTAGAAAACTTTGAACTATTCGAAAAGAATTTCGTTAATGATGAGTCAGGAAATATGTTGATAAAAACACAGGAAGATTTCTTATTCGAAAATATATTTGGATGCAAAATGATAGTGAATAACTTTTCTTCATCGAAATATAAAAATGAAATAATTAATCATGAAAGAAGAAAAATCTCTTAATCATTGACTTAGAAAAAATTTCCATTATTCGTGAAGTGTTTATCAACTATAGGATTAAGAATTTCTTCTTATTATTTATAAAATAAAAGTTTAAAATAACCTGCTGAAAAACTTTTATTAACAAGTTTGATAACACGTCTTAATTTTCGAATTTCTGCATGATTATTTTCAATTTGTTGATGAAGTTCCTAAAACAAAAGAAAATATGATATAATTAATTAATAGAAATGAATAGAAATATAAAAACAGACAAGATTTTCATTGATGACACTAGATATTTGTTGTTTCATAGAATCATCAACTGTATTTTCATCAATTGATTTATATAATTCAACATTTTCTGTTTCAAGTTGTGCTAAACGTTCTTGTGTTCTTTCATATTCACGTTGATATGATGTTCGACATTGTTCGAGCTCAAGTTCAAGCATTCTTTTTGTTTTTTAATAGAAAAAAACTCAAAATAAAATAAAACGAAAATAATATTTCTACTTGTTTATTTGTTTTTGACTTTGATAAGCTTGTTCAATAGCATCGGCTGCAATAACATCATCTGTTTCATTCTCATGTTGCATAACACGTTCTTGTAATTTTGATTTCATTTCAATTTGTTCACGACGACGATGTTCTAATTCAGCATTTAGTGCATCAAATTGAGCTAAAATAAACGAAAGATTAGATATAAAAGAAAAGAAAAATAAATAAAATAGACTTTTACCTAGTAATTGTTCTTTAGCAGCTTTTTCATCACCTTTAAGTATTTGTTCTCTTAATGCTTTTAAATCATTTTTTAATTTTTCCATTTCTAATTCATCTAAATGCCATGAAGAATTTTTCTTAATTGTTCCTAATTTTGATGAATTCGTTATTCCTTTCTCAAGTTCTTCATTCATTAGTTTATTTTCTTGTTCAAGTTGTTTAAGACGTCGTTGAAGACGAAGAAGAAGGCCACCACCACCTGTTTCACCAATATCTTCTAATGTTTCATTTGTTTGCGTAGTTGATAAATAACGTGGGTGATTATTAACAGTGGATGAATGAAGAGGAGGAGGACGACGTGGGGTTAAACCATCATTGGTCAATGATCCTTGATCCTAATACAAAAGTAAATATATATATTAATCAGTAGTATTATAATCATCATGATTAGAAGATTGACCCATATAACTTATATTACGATACACAGTCAAATAGAACGAAATGACTAAGTATTCAATTATTTCTTTTATAGACAAACTATATAAATATCATTGAATAATTTCATTTTATTTGATAAAGAAAAGACTTAAAATGTGTGTAGTTTGAGCTGAATACGTGTTAACTCCTGCTGGTAAGACAATCAAAAAGGAAAAGAGAAAAAAGGTTTTCTTTCTCTTTTATTTTTGTTTTGATTGCTTGTGGGAATTAATTAATCTAAAATCCCACAGGTTTTAAATTTCGTGATGTTTATTTTCAAATAAAATTTCTTTTGTTTGAATATGTCAAATATTAGAATGGTTTTTCTATCAAAACAATGATCAATATCTTAATTAGATACAAAAAGAAATTTAGGTCATTAGTTCAGATTCAAAAAGAATATTTGTGAAATAGGACTCATAACTGGTTAAAACTATTATTTTGGAGAGATTATTCTAATAGTTTTATTGTTATTAGTGGAATGACATGGTAGATCTTCCAATATTTTTCTTTATAGACCTTACATTGAAAATTCTTATTTTTTGACGTTCTAAGTATTACAAATATACAATCTTTAATGTGAAAAATCACGTATTGCTGCATCTAAACTCGAGGGGTATTTAATATTTAAAAAAAAGTCAACTTTTAGATCATCATCATGAAAGATGATCATTTTGAAATATTGAATATTTTTCAGACGAAATATCCATTATGTTAATTTTTTTTCAGACTAAAACAGTATAAATTGATTTGATTTCAGAATAATTTGTTCGAGACTAGTAGAAAGATAATAGCATACGAGAAAATCTGAAGAAACGTTGATAAATAAAAATCTGTTGAAATCTTTCTCTTGTCTCATTAAAATTAACTTGTGCTTTCAATACAGGATCATGATTTTAGTTATTTTCAATAGATTCAATTATTTAACTATTCAATAATGATAGTTCATCACTTTTTGAGTAAAAATTTAAATGCTATATTGATATTTTAAGCAAAGGACAGAGAATACTCTTGTTATTCAAAAGGGTTAAACTATCTCTATCTATTTTTCGTGCACACAAAATATTGACTTCGAATATTTCTGATTAAAATTGTAATATTTACAGGTAAATCATAGAGATCAAGTGTATCCATAAATTTCGAATCCCAAGTCATATTTGAATCAGATGGTACTTGTTTCGTTGTATTAATATTTCCATTTTGTAATTCACTTTGAAGATTTTCACATTTTTGTTCTAATCTATGCATTTCAATAACAAGTCTTTGTCTTTGTTGTCTTTCAGCATTTAGTTCTTCTTCAAGCTGTTTAACACGTGTTAAAGATAAATCTTGTGTTGATAAATCTCCAAGTAATTGTTTTTCTAATTTTGTTATTTCTTTTGCTTTATTTTCAAGTTCATTTTGTAATTGTGTAACTAAGTCATTATTTTTTAAAATAATTTCATCTTTTAATTGTTTTGTTTGAGTTAAATCAGATCGTAATAATCCATTATCGGATTTAAGACGTTCATTTTCTGATCGAAGTCTAACAAAAAAGAAATTTTTAGAAATTTTCAAATAAAAAAGGTTTCGTTTATCTTACTGTTGAAGTTCTTCTTCCAAAGATGATTGTTTTTTTAAGTTTTGTTTTAATTCTTTACTTTGAAGTTTTAATTGTTCATGTTCTTTTTTTAAATTTTCAAATTCTTGTTCTCTATATGTTAAACGTTCATTATCTCGTTTTTGTTCATCAATTTTATGTTGTAATGAAATAATTTTATTTTCTAAACCTTTATTTAATTGTCTTTGATGTTCAATAGAACGTTGTTCAACTCGAAGTTGTTTAATTTCTAAACAAGCTTCACGTCTACGTTGATGTGATTGTAAAAGAATAATAGCACGTTGAAATGTAAGAAATCTTTGACGTGCAATCCACATACGTATTGACGATTGAATTGTAAGAACACTTCGTTCAATCATTCTTTGTTGAAGATTTTGTCGAACTAAATAACCTCGACAACGAGATTGAATATCAATAACAATAAAACGAAGTGCTTGAAAACTACGAAAAGCTAATTGCATACGCCATAATGATTGAAATAAAGTAATAGCATGTGTACGACGAATATCTTCAGCATGTTTTCTAGCTAAATATCTTCGTGATAATGTTTGAAGTGCAAGTGTTGTACGTCGAATTTTCAAATAACGTTTACGAGCATAATAAGCACGATATGTTGTTTGAATTTTAATAGTACAAGCACGAAGTTTTTCTGAACGTAATTTTTCTAAATAAGCAACTTGACCAGCACGAAAAAATATTTTTGTATTTCCAAATTGATATTTATCTTTATCAGAAATTAAATTTTTAAGAATATTTTCACATGTTCGACGATAATTTGTACGATCAATTAATGATGAACGAGTTAATAAACGATAACGAATAAAAAAATCATGATAAGTCCAACGAGATGGATAACCAGCAGCACTTATACGAACAGTTTCCAAAACACCACACGCACGTAATTGTTGTACTGCACGACGAGGTTCAAATCTTTTAATGTTATTTCCTCATTTATAGATAAAATCAATAAGTAATTTAAAAAATAAACTTACGTAAATGGAGCTTTTTGATCATTAGGTTTTATACAACGAACATAATGAGGTTCAGTAGAATTTAATGCTGCCATTAAACTTGTTAATGAATCACGAAACTAATAAAAAATCAAAAAATGTTTTATTTATTATTTATTTTTAATGAGTTTCAAAACAACCCAGTAATACAACAGAAATAAGAGATATGTTAGCAAGAATTTTTTGTTTACTTAAGTCTCAGTGACAGAAACTCTTCCATAGAAAAGAAATAAGAATCTTGTGCTTGAAACAAAAAAAAAAGTATTGTTGTGATGAATAAAAGGTAAAGGTGTGTTTGGATTCACACTTTATTTAGAATTAGCAAAACACAGTACGCTTATAAAACCGACCTGTGAACCAAGTGAAAGACGCTGAAAAAATTCATATTGATCAAAATTGTACATCTATTCGTATAAACTTACTTGAGATGCAACAGTTTTCTTTCTTTGTGCTTGAACTTTTGATGTTGCTTGTAATGTTCCTGTTTTTTGCACTTGATAAGATTTAGTTGATGTTGATGTTTTTGATCCACTTGTTTTATCGTCTTCGTCGAGAAATAGTTGAACAACAAAATCAAGCTTAAAAAGAAAAGAATTTAATTAGAAATAGAAATAGAAATAGAAAATAATATTACTTCGCTTTCTTTTAACATTTTCAATTGATCTTCAAGTACAGTATCACGATTCTTTTCGAGAAAACCATCGATTGAATATTCAACTTTTTCTGCAAAATGATTTATAATAAATGTTGAATTAGCTGTTAATTTTTTTGTTAAAAAATCTGGATGTTTTCCATGTTGAGTAACTAATTTCCTATGCCAATTTTCATCAGATCCTTTAGGCATCTACAATTTTATTTTTATTTATTTATAAATAATAGAAAAAAGAAAAATCAAAACAAACTTTGCATTCTTCATCTAATAAATCTAAAATTCCTAATTTGCTTTCAATTAAATCAATACATGGTTGATTATCATAAAATTGAATAAATGACCAAGTTATTTTTTCTTTCATATATTCTTCTTGTTCAAGTTTAAATACATGCTGTTTTAAACAAAGAAATTAAATATTTCAACTAAATTAAACAGATCTAATTTTTTTTTTTCTTACTTGACAAAATTGTTGTTGTAATTTTTCATTTGCATAATTTATGCAAAATTGTTCAAAACTATTCATTTCAAATGTTTCAAAACTTAATAAAGAAAATAAATAAATTCGAAAATTTCAATGAAAACTTTTCAAAAATCAAAACCAACCCGTAAATATCAAGAACACCAATAAATGATTGTCGTTGACCAACATATTCTAATGATTTATTTATTTCTTCGACAATCCATCCAAATAATTGTGAATATATATGTTTAGCAAGAGCATCTCGAGCGAATAAAGCCTAAAATAATTAATAATCAGATTTTTTATGCTTCAATAATAAATCAATTGTAAAATAATGGAAAAATAAACGAAGCCCAAATCTTTGCAGTGTTTCCTGAATTATGGTAACGAGACTTTGCAAACTGTTCACGCATAGCCTTCGTTTGGTTCTGCTCAAGAGAGAGAGAGAAGAGTTAAGAGAGAAAGTCTTCGAAAGCTACATAGACAACATGTATTCATCAGTTTTTTCAGAAAAACATATTTGCATTGGAAATTTTTAATTACTCTCGTTATCAATTGTGAACTCTTTTTCCTTCGTCGCTATTTCTTGTGTTAGAAAATTTGTAAAGAAATTTTTTTATCAATGAANAATGACAATTTTTTCGATAACTCAGCCATTTCTTGACGGATCCTGCTCATCTTCGAACTCGACCAAGACATTGTTAAGACTGAACTGTGTAGAAAATTTCATCGCGATTAGACTCTCCTTTCAAAAGTTATCGTGTTAACGGCCGGCCGGACGGACGGACACACTGACCGATTCTGGAGTGTACTCACTTTTTGAGTACACAAAAACAGCTGAACGTACGGACACAGAACTTTCACTTCTTTATTATTTGACAAAGAAATTTCAATAAATAGAACTGTTGGTTTTAAACTTTTAGATTATCAAAGAAATCGTGATCAATAATTGAATATCATGGATATTTCTTCCTCTTCAGAAACATCAATGTCGACCCGAGTGTAAGTTGATGTTAGTCATTTTCTGCATGTATAAGATTGTAAGTTGAGTCAAGATAGTGTTCATGGACGTAGCATCTGCTTTATGAACTTGAGTACTGACATTGTTGTTACCAGAGATGTTGATGACTGATTTTTTTCTTTGACTCACGCGCTACTTCACGGATTGAAGATTTATTCACCCGTCACAGGCTGCCCGCGGGTTAATACAATTTTTTTAGTAAGATATTTAACTACAAATTTGTTAGTTTTTTTAATGAGGCAGTGATTTTTGAATTATGAAACTAAGATTTTTATAATTATAATATTATCTTTTATTCCTGAACATACAGTATGTAAAATAATTATTTGGATACCCAAGGTTCAATATTTTGTAAAGCAAAGGCGATTATAAGTTACATGCTAATTTTTGACCAAAAACTGGGATATATGTAGAATAATAGAGAAAGACTTCCTCAATTCAGCGATACATATATTATCAAATTCTGCTGCGTACGGTTGATGTCGATAGATGGCGCCACATTCGCTGTATTGTACAGTAGAAGGCAGCGAATGTGGCGCCATCTATCGACAATAACCGTACGCAACAGAATTTGATAATATATGTATCGCTGAATTGAGGAAGTCTTTCTCTATTATTCTACATATATCGCGGGTTTTGGTCAAAACCTTATAATCGCCTTTCACTACCAAAAAAATATATTCTCAAATTTTGTTATACCATTCGATAGGCCAAAGTGTCTACTTTAATCTACCAATAAAAGAGCTTCTTTCAAAAACTTTTTCATAAAATTTTCAAAGTTTTTCAATAAACCACTCGATTTTCTATACAGAAAGTTATTCAGACACTTGTAGATTTCTTTTCATTGTACCTTTATTCTGCATTAAAATATTTCAAATTGTATGTCATTCGATAGAAAAAACAGTTCTCTAGACACTGATATGCTTCAAAAGCGAGAACACTAATAATAAAACTCCGAAAACTTTGAAACATCTAAAGTACCATGGGTTTTCCAAAAACCTAGGTTTTTTTCGATTTGATAAAATGAAAATTCAAATCAAAATACACCATTTAATAGAGGAGAGAAAACTGAATCGAATCATGTTCTTTATTTTCAAAAATAATTGCATGAAAGAGTTATTAATTACTAATTATAATTAGTCTTCTATATAAGTCTGTCTTTAGTGTCGGCATTTACAAAGCAAAATAAGACTAAAAAATTTTTGAAGGTCAAAGACTTATGCACTATTTAGTTCTCTACCAAATGATGTGCTTCAGTACACGATATTTATTTTTCCTACATAAGTTAAGACCATATGTTTACAGGTACAATTTCCAGTGTAGAATGGAAAAAAAAATTTATGAAAAAGTTTTTAAAAAGAACATTTTTTTTAAATAGATTAAAGTAGAAACGTTGGTCTACCATCGAATGGCATAAAAAATTTGAGAATATATTCTTTCTTCGTAGTGAAACCTGCTTTACAAGATATGTAACACAGAGTGTCCGAATAATTATTTTCCATACTATATATGTCACGGTCAAAATTAAACTTGGGCAGCATTCGTTTTTAATTAGGCCAAAACTACGAAATAATTTTGTTTTATTTAAAAATGAATTCTAATTCTCGTTTGCATGAAGAAAACGTAGCGCGTACCTTCTTTTTTCACTAGACAGAATACTAATTTTCACGTATTCATATTGTGATGTATGATGTACGAATGGCATCCTCGGCGTCGACATCGGAATATGATTTTCAAAAGTATTTTTATGAAGCAGCGAAGTAATAGTTTGAATTTTTAGAGTATTAATTCTAAGAGAAGGTAGGATGTGGATATGGATCATTCAACAGGATCACACCGACATCAAACACTCTCAAGTGACATTGTTATTGCTATTTTTTTCACAATTTTAGGTCTTATTGATAATTCTTTTTATGGTGACTGGTGTTGCTGGAATATTAAAATTGGTACCATTCTTTCTAATGAAGAATAATGGTAAGAACATCATGAATAAAAAGGTTTTTGACAAAAATCTATAGAACAACCAGGATTGAATACTATGTTATATAACTGTTCAATATTTCAATAGAAAAGCTTGTCAGCACAGCCACATTGAGACTGAAATGTGAAACTCACGTATGTTCTTTAGCCCCATCAAACTGGTACAAAATAAGTAAAGTGAAAAATCTCGTGTAGACTATAGTTCTTTTCCAAGATAATCGATCACCACAGCAAGATTCTCTCTTATTTATTTCTGCATTTTGAGCAGAAGTTTTTCATGGACGTCCTATTCGTTGATTAGCACTGTTGCTATTCATTCGTTATTTTTCAGTTTCGTATTTTGTTTGTCTTTAAGTGACATTATTATTTTTCTAAATCTTCATTTAATGAGCAAAGAAGATTGTAATAAATATTCATTATATGTGGAGCAGGTCCTCATGCACTCTTATATATTTTGATCAACTAACAAACACTAATATTATTTGTACTTCCAAATTTGTACAAGGTTACAAATAATATTTTTCTATCGAAGTACTGCTCCCAATACGAATGATATCAACATTGAATTTTATAACAAAAGAAAACTTCTCGAAAACAGGATTTAGCAGTATATCTAGCAAGTCATAGAATGATCATAAGCTAGAAGACTACAGAAAGTTCCAATATTTTAGACATATAATGGCGAACTATGGGTAGTCAACCATGAAAAAACAGATAGGTCTCAAGCAGTTTATAGCAGTTCAGATTCTGAAGAGTTCTCCTTGCTGATCATTTAAATAAAAAGATTTTTTAAATTTAGTAAATATACGGCAATGCTAGGGTCAAAATACTGAGAAACCTCCAACAGCTCGCTTTGCTAAATCTATGATATTTTCAGTATTTCGATCCTAGCATTATCATTTATCAATCAAACTTAAAAAATCTCTTTATCAACATGGTTGGTAAAGAGTACTCTACAAAATCTAAGCATCAAAAAGCTTCCTGAGACCTATTTGCTTCTTGTAGTTGATCACTCATGGAAGTCTTCAATTATTCATATTAAATCTGAGAAATTTCAGTAATTTTCCACCTCATTATCATACTGTCAGGTGGTAGTTATACTGCTGAATTCCATTTTCGGCGAGCTTTCGTTAAGCATAAAACTCAATGTTGATATCATTTGTATTGGGATCAGCATCCCTTTGCCCCGAAAAAAAAACAGTATTTGTAATTCTATAACTTAATCAATTTACCCTTTTTATGTTAATCATATGCTGGAAACCTACTCTACCTCTTTTCCTCTATTTTTTTAAATCTTCTTTTTGCGTTCAGATTCTATTTTTTGTCTCTTTTTTTTAAGGAAATAAGGTTTTTGCGAAAAATAGCGGACATTCTAGGTCGATTTTGATGAATCAATACGCTTTGAAGCAATAGGGTCAAGAAAAGCATTGATTCTAATACAGAACAGTTTTAGTACTTTTTTGGTTCTGTATTTGATGAGATCAGTAGAAATCGATGTTATTTAGAGCTGAAATTGAGACATCCTATGGAAAAAAATTCCTAGAACTGAACGAGTAAGAACCCATTCTTTAAAAAATTGAAGCGTTCGAACGCATTTTTTATCATGACGAGCACGATTATAGCAAACAAGTTCCATGTCCAGAGTAACGCTTTCTCAATAGAAGCGTTTTTGTTAGTTCAAGAATAATTCGTTCCTGTAGTTGTAAAACTTAAATATTATTCGGTTGCTGCTTTTCTTTATCGGTCAAAGTGGGAAGCCTGTCATGATATCACTTTTGCGTTAATTGATAGATGTAAAGTTTTGCACTATATTGCTGAAATGTTCCATATTTTCTGAAGACTTTATGAATCTGTTTTAGTGTTACTTAAGGAACATTTTAGTTATATCAAGCGTAATCTAATCCTCATTGATCAAAAATAAATACCGGTGACAAATAGGACATTTCAGCAGTATAGTACAAAACCTTACATCTATCAATTAACTCAAAAGCAATATCATGACAGATTTCTTACTTTGATCGATAAAGACAATGAACAATCGAATGCACTCTTAATGAAGAACGAAAGCATGCAGTCAAAAGCTGTTGGATAAAAAAATTAATTTTAGAAAATTATTCATCTTGACCCATTCGCAAGGGGGAAACATGATTTTGTGATCTAAAATGATTTAAAATGATTTAACATGATTTAATTTTGATTTAATTTTGATTTTCAGATGATTTAAATCAGTTGTTTCCTCCTTGCCCATTCGTTTCAAGTGTGTTTTAGAAAGTGATGAATATTGTTTACATCAGTAAAAACTATACCACTTTGTAGAGAATCAAAAGACATACCACTAAGATTCGGAGAGGGTCCACTTTCTCTGAAACGCTCGTCATATACGCTGTTTTGTGTCGTTGTTCTACCAAAAGCAATACAACAGCCCATCACGTATCGATAGAGCCACAGATCTGCGAGACAGGCGAAAAACCGTCTAGCTGCCGCCGCGCCTCGCCAAGGATCTACCATAAAAACAAATATCTTTTTATGCACTTTTTTCAACCTCATGTAATAATTACTGTTTCTTTTATTTCATAAAATCAAATAAAGTACATACATTTGATACATATAAATAGGTTTAAGAAACAATACAAAAATAGATAATGCGAACACAATGAATACCTATGATTCATATAAAACTATCAGAAAGAAGAGAATAAATGACAGTTGAATATATTATTGAATATGTAATTGCCACAAAACGCATTTGAATTTTATTGAAATTCGAGGGCTTATTTATTTCAAGCTTTTAGTGAGCACGCCCATCATTATCAGGAAACACTAACAAAAAATCAAAAATATACAGAACTATCACATGTATATAGATCCAACTAAAGTTTTTTAACAAGAGAATTTTATCGAATAGCGCGAGAGAGTATATAAAAAATGTAGTTGGATCTATGTACATGTAACAGTTTTGTATATTTTATTTTATTGTTATCGTTTCCTGATGATGGTGGGCGTGCTCACTAACAGCTTGAAATAAATAAGCCCTCGAATTTCAATAAAATTCAAATGCGTTTTGTGGCAATTACATACTCAATCATATATTCAATTATCATTTATTCTCTTCATCTTGTGGTTTTATATAAATCATAGTTATTCATTCTGTTCTCATTATCTAGTTTTGTATTGTTTTTTTAGCCTATTTATGACATCTGCTCAACCAAAACTGTATCGCAAGCAAACGAGTTAACTCGTCTATTCTCATACCATCTCGCACTTGCTTCGCTCTCGAAAAACTTGCCTCGAGGCGAGGTGAGACGGTATAACTCGTCGGTTTACAGGTCTCTGTATAGGACTACCTTGAATAGCATCAGTGCTTAGTCCTTGTTCATATATGCTAGCTTCTTCTACCCGCAAGCTATTGCAACTTAAACAAATGTTGGATGTCGAGTTTCTAATTTTGACGTCTTGGTCTATGCATGTCCACCTAAAGTGAAATCACAGTCAAACACTTATGCGGCAGATTCTTTTCCTTT